GGAGCCACTCTTCACGAAGCCAAGGTCGGCGGATGGGGAGGTAAAAAGCAAAACCCCCAAATTTCTCTCTAAATTTGAACAAAATCTTAAACTTTTCACTCAGTATTTCACACCCTTTTTAATGTATTTTTTTCTTCCATTCCCTAAATAGTGTCTTTTCTACTCTTGCTACAGTGTGAGACTTGACAAGAAATATATTGTCTCCAACATTATCTTACTGCTACCAGTGTGGTAGGACAGAGGGCTGGTCATGACAGCCTGATGGGCACGCAATAGAGTGAATACACAGGACTAAAAACCTTCAGACTTTTTTTAAGCCAACCTAAAAATGTTAATTGACAAATTGCTTTAACTCATATCTAATCTCTCTAAACTCCAGGAATTTTCTTTTTTTTATCACTTTTCAGGAGGATTTATTGTTATTATTACTAAGCCGTTGTGACAGGAGAAATGTTTTTCTGGTAAAGGATTCTGCTGGCTTTGTATGTTTGTGCTTCGGATGTTTTTAATCTAAAAGCCAGGCTCAGAAGAAACGGCCCAGTGACCTTCAGCACTCTGAATGAAATGCAGAAGCTACTGCAGCACATCTAACATTTTATTTAAACAGAAGTTAGAAGAACACATGTTGAAAGCTGACAGTAGCAGAAGCACAGATGACACAATATTTACCATACCCATCGCAAGACGTTCATATACATCAAGCAGCCCTAGTCTCAACAGACATCATGTCCAGTTAATGTCCGTCCCAACCTGTTTTATTCTCAGCTTTTCTGTGGTACTATTTATCCCAGTAACCCTGTAATTTACTTGGACTGCTTTAAACAACAGTCTTTGTGATTGGTTCACAATCTAAATCGCCTTATCCACACCAGAAGTGTTTAAAAACGGGAGTTGAGCAAAAGTTACAGCAGGACTCACCAAAACTGCCTGATCGTAATGAAAGACCAATCGTTAGAAGTATTACTGGATTCGGAGAAAGAATATTGGCTTTAAATGCAGCTGTAAGCAGCACCTTAACCTATCCAACTCTGAGGCTGGACAACAAAATAAACACTGGACAGAGACAGTGAGCTGGTGCTATTCTGATGCAAATCCAATATCCAATTTGTTTTTTGTTAATCAACTGATCCAGTCAACAAAAAATAATAATTTACATAACAGAGAGTGAAGAATATCATTTTTCTCATTATTATTATTTTTTAATTTAAGATTAAATCTTCAATTAGGTAATCTGCAGACTGTGCATTAATTGGTCTTTAAAGTGTGTGGAGGTTTCCATCTAGCTCCTCCATGGCCACATAACATGCAGTTTCAGCTCAGATTAATGTATGAAGGACCATTAACATAATTTACAGCTCCATCTCATTGGCTATGCATAATCCAAAGGTCATAAAAATGATATAAAAATACAAATGAAACAATACCATTACTTGCATTTCAATGTATATGAAAAAAGGAAGATATAATGTGTAATTCGTCTGTACTGCATCTACAGGGCCAATGTTATTTTTAACCCAGTGTTCACAGGCAGAAAATCACATTTAAATCTGAGCTTCAGATGTTAAAACCTGCAACATTCACTGAGAGAAAGCAGCCGGTTCCTAAAAACTAATTCAGAAATTGATTTGATGTTGTTTTTCCTCACAACAAATAAAAATAAACACTTCACTGTCAATATGGCATTACATGCTTTCCATTTCCAAAGTCACGATCTGCTAAGACACTTTCATCCTGGCGTTCTGTAGCTGTGGCAACTTGCAGCGAATAAACACAGCTGTGTTTGGAGTTTAGGAGACAGTTTTCGCTAAAGTCTGGTTGCCATATCCTCCCCGGCAACAACCCACTAACTAGCTGGAGACTTATCTGGTTAGATATTTGCCTGCATGGATGGATGGTTGGGTGGTTCACTTAGACACTGGCAGTCACAGATTAACAACTCTAGCTCACGAAGAGTGCTGTAATGTTGCCTAAATCTTCTCTACCATGCTTGATAATTAAATTCTTAATTTGTGTGCTGAGGTGAATTGATCCATATAATTCAATGGGACTGACAGAAAAACAACTGCATACATGGCATGGTTATGCAAACCTCTGGCAATGATCCCAAGTGGTCTAATGTAAGAAGGAAATGCACACATCTTTCATGCCTGATAATTTATCTTGCTCGCAGCGCCCAGTCCGTACTCCTCTTACCAAAGCTGTCAGTTGAGACCCATTTTAAGCTCTCTGTATTACTGAGCTAAAAGCAAAGAGGAAGGGGGTGTCTCGAAAATTTTGAGACTCACAAGAAATAAGCTGCTGGTCAAAGAAAGAGTGGGAAGACACGAGTATAGAAAAAGGAAGTAATAATAAGCATTTTTGGAAAGCTAAATATTAAAGAATACACCCAAATTATCTGCTTTTAAGACTACAGTAAAACAAAGAAACTCCATTGCTTCGATATTCAGCACATTCTCCAATTAATACACATGAAGGCCACAGTGTAAACTCAGCCCTTCATAAAAGCAAAGTCTGTCCTTTCAAAGCTTTAACAAGGAAACATTATGCATCGGCTACAGATTAGCCCTGTGGTTCCAAATTATTTTCCGTCATGCCCCCCCCCCCCGGGAACATACAATTTTTCACGCCCCATCTTGAATTGAATACTATTGAGAATCTGATACTACTTAGCTATTATCTATGAAAACCACTGGAACCAACGTTCTGCACCCAATCACCCGAATATGAAAACAGATTAATAAAATGAGCTGAAACAACATCAATTTTAAGTTGCTGCAGCTCATTTTATTGCTTAAAGTCACAAAACAATTTCCGAGCTCAGTTTATTAACTCAATTTGTAACATTTAATCAAAACTGCTCAACCTGAAAAGAGAAAAAGTGCAAATGATTCAACGGGATGTTAATTTATTTAAACACAGTGACATTCAAAATTTTTCTAAACTGTAAACTTTGGTTACTTTTCAGCCTATTCAGCTTATTCTTCAAAAAGGTGTCACTTTTTAACATTTTTTTGTACAAAACTAACAAAAATATTGTTTATATCTTAGCTTCCTCCTTTTATCTTTTAACGGTCAAACGCCTCCATGTCTCCTGCTCCTCCATCAGCTCTGTACACGGTGTGCCTGTGCTGGCTACTTCTTCTACTGGGTTGAAAAGGCAGCCTGTTGATTAGTTTGAGCACCGCCACCTAGTGACTGGAAGCTTGATTATCGTTCAAGAATAAATAAAAGCAATGACAATAACAAAAAGTCCTCCTGTCATCCCCCTTGCCATCATGTTATCTCAATGACAACCTTAGTTGATAAGTCAAATAGTTCAATTCACTTCTGCTTTCTGTGGGCACACCTGTTCCTACTGGAGGTACATGTTTGACTCCATGTTTGATCTGCAGATCTCTTGATTACCATATAAATCATCATAAATAAAATAATGACTTGAAGAATGATGATTTTGAAGTAGTTTCATTTTTAAAATACTTAAGACAAGTCAAACCCGATCCTCGGTGTTCTTCAATGATTACAGAACCATCGATGCCGTTTCTGATTTGCTGAACCATTTATTTGTTCCGCTATTCTGCAAATCACTTTAGATTTGAGTAAAGCACGGAAGCTACAATAAGACTAATTAAGTGCTAATCACCTGACCAAGGGTATTCCTTAGTTATTAAAAACAGAAAACTCCTGAATAGAAAAAACAAGATTACTGTCATCCTATTTACTTATGTGCAACGGCTCCTAATGGGTTAGCAAACAGAAATGAAATAGTATTTGCTTAGCAGTCATCATCTTTCAGGCTTTGTTTAAATTTTCATTAACACTACTGTGGAACAAGTGTCGTTACAACATTAAAAGTTGTAACAACGCTCTATGCTAACTTGCAATTGCAATTTTTTATAGTTACCAACTATCACTTCAAACAACTACAGTGAGAAATCTCAACTGTAACACTGGCATGATAAAACAGGCAGCAGAGAGCTTTATGCAATATGTATTTGTGAGGACCATGTTTTAGTCAACGTTCCTTAATACATGTAGCATCGTCCTCAGCTCAATGTCAGCTTACAGTCGTGAACTACCTGTTTTTTAAACTGCATGACATGGACTATGTTGTTTCTAATATAAATATACCTTTGGAGTGGCAAAATAAAGCAATACTAAAACCAATGTGGTTTAATGGTTGGCCACAAGCAGAACTGAATGGGCCTTTCCAATTAATATGCAATCTCATCTACCACAGCTCCTGCACTGATAAGAGATTTTCATCTGGTTGGTTGTGGGAACACGAAACAATAGAGGTTGTCACTACCCTGCATCCAATTCCGCTGAAGATTTTTGTATTTAGAAAATAAAACAAAACTTCAGAAATAAATTCACATTTTTACCAGCAGTTTCCACCTGCTGGGAAGACGTTACCAGCCTCCATCATCAATCTTCAACCACAGCTAGCACAACAAGGCCGTCTTAGCTAATAACCAGAAGATTATCGCTACCGATAATCAGCTGGGAAGGAAATAAATATTTACATGTTTTCACAAGTTCTCATTCATCTTTCTCCTTCCCATTGATATGGTTGGTGCATTTTAGTTATACAGGAAGAAATTGGTTTCAAAATGATACACCATCAACATATTTCTGGATAAAAGGCCACGACTGCTGATAGCTGGCAAAACAATATGAATATCTATTTTAATAGCTCCCAATTTTTTTATTTAACTTAAAAAAATGGTTGAAATGATCAGAAAAAGTTGTACATCAGAACAACATTTAAAAGAGGATTAAAATACCTTAAAATCCCAGTGATGTTTTTCTGTACCCCTATAAAGGGTCAGTTGCATTGATCGCTTTTAAGATGGAAACAGACAAAGTAGTTGACTGAGCCGCAGCGACCCCTACTGTACCACTTGGTGGAAGTGAGGCATTAAACCTCAAATTGAGGCCTAATTTATGTCCATCAAATACACTGAAGCATGTGAAAGGATTCTACCTAAATCTGAATATTCAGTGAACTCATTTCTAAATGCTTGAATTGTTGCAAGACACTTTCAACAAGTGGTTTTTGGTAATTATTCTGGTTGTTTGGCTTTTAAAATAGGTCCGTTAAATCAACTGGAATAGTCTTTAAATCATATCCATCTCTTTAGATTATGTCATATTTTTGCCGTTAACGACATTGTAGTGTTCAATGATGACACTGTACTGAGTAGGTTACTTTACTTCACAGCCAGAGTTACTTAATTCTCAGAAACATCTAGTGGAAATACCCAAACTGCTCCAAAGTGGGTTACCCCCTGCTCTCTGCTAACAGGTGTAGTTAATTCCTATTTTATCACATCTGTGGCTCCTCCTGCTCCCACACAGGTTCAGGTGTGCTTCTCAAGAAAAGCATGGCTCCTGCCATGGGAAGCTTAATCATCCCCAGCTGAGCCACCTTCACTTCTAAAACACAGAAGTTAACCCAGAGCTAAAGGAACACACATAGAGTTCAGACCGGAGTACTGTTCAGCCCACAAGTGAGAAATGTATTTTTTATTTCATAATACAAATCTGGGTTGCTTTTATTTAGTTCAACTTCAAAACCAATGTCTGCCCAGCAGTAATTTAGGAATTAGATCTGAAAGGAGACATGGATTCATGGCCACCTTATCTCTGCTCTTGTGAAACCAAACAAACATCGTCAGAAGTTCATTTTGTAGAAATACAGCGAGTTTCAATTTTGAATAAAAAGAGGAATGTTAACTATGGTTTAATTTTCAGTCTGTTATTGAACATGACTGTGAGAGAAAACCAGACCACACAAACCAAAGCAACATATCAACATATATGGGGTTAATATTGCAAAAAGACCAAAACAAGCAGCTGGGAAAAAGCCTTTCTTTGGTAAGTTGAAAAACTTAACAGGTTTGTTTATGTTATTTTTCTTGTTTTCATATTTTTCATATGAATTCAAGACTAATTTTGTAGCACCCTTTAATTATACAACATTTGTCTATCAGCACTAAACATTTCTCTGAAGCCTCAAACTTCTATCAAGCCTCACATGTCGACATGTTATGTCAGAGGCTCCTTTCAAACAGCTTCTTATAAGTTTGTTTCCTTTGAGTTTAGTTTTAAACACATCACATAAAATGACTGCCTTTGAGTTTTCTTCATTGAGTAACAACCTCCACACTGAAGAGTGTTTTTGTCAGTGCACCTGGTAGTGATTATATATGATTTGAGTTTTTGACCAATCTATCATTGATCCTACCAGTCAAACAGAAAATTGGAAAAATATATACCGGTTTATATTCAACATTCAATTTTGGGGAGGATTTAAAATTGTGCTTTTTTTTAATAAAGTATTTCACTTCCTGTCGTGATATAAGGAATATTTAGAAAATACAACTGCAAATATAATTTCAGAAAAATAAAATATATGAACATGGAGCATAAACCCTGAATTTGACGTGAGGCTAAAGTTAGAATTCATAGCTAGTTCATAGCTTGATCATCTGCTAAAAGGCTATAAGTACTTCATATTTCAAATCAGTGCTCTGCACCTTCCTTTGGTATAAACCCAGATCAGACAAGCTAAGGGGCTAAAGCTAACCGCTAATCCAAGAAGATCTAAGTCCAACAACAAGTTATTTGGTCTCATTAGGGGTATTGGATTTTTTTTCTGCACAAAAAGAAAACTACATTTTTCTATATCAACATTTATTTGATGATCTGAAGCTTGAAAACCAACCAGGCCACAATAAACGCAGGCATCTGCAAGGGGACGCCATAGGTAAGATGTCATCTACTCACAACTTTTTTTAACAAATCTGCAATTCAAAAATCCTAAATTATCCCTTTAACTATTGTGCTATAGGGGGAAAGAAAACAGTTGTGGCCCAGGGGCCCAAATTCTTCTGAATCCGGCCCTGGACAGAACCTCTTCCTCTGGATTTCATTCATAACTCCTTGGTCCCGATGAGGTGCTCCATTCAAAGTGAAATGCGATGCAAATTTATAGTCATTCATGCACTTCGACTGGGCCACAGATAGAGAGACGGGCGAGACAAACGGGACTGAGCACGGTCCATATGATCCTAGCAGCAGGCGGCGGAGGAACCAACTGCGACCCGAAAGATGTGGCACGGATGGTGGAGGATTACGTCATCGTAGGAAAAAAAGGAGGACGCCTCATCACAGCAGACCTTTACCATCCATAATAAAACAACCTCCCATCCAGCAGGCCGATTCAACCAAAAATAAAGATTATTAATGCAAAGCCACGCTGAAAGCAGGCTCTCTGTAAGTAGATTATCCACGCAAGCGGAGTGGTGTGACGCTTCTAGAATGTAAAGCCTTGCTTCATCAGTTTGTCACCAACAAGCAACCAAACTCTGTTTCGCATTTTCTGACAGACGGTAAAATAAAAATGTTGCAATGGTGGCGAAAAAGCCGCACTGAAAGCTAACTGGACTCGTCTTTAAAGGGGCTTATTGTACACTGCCCAATGAATGAGTTGACTGCTTTATAGGATAAAAACAAATAAATAAATAGGCATGTCAACACAATGGTGCATGGACGGGTTTTAACGCCTCAATGCATGTTTCAAATGCATCGCACATTTCAACAGCTACTGTTTTTAAAAGCAAAAATATTGAATGGGCTAAAAAAAAAGAGAAGCTAGCTAACAAGCAGGGAGCATAACAGTTACAGCTTGAAATGCGTTTAATTTTCTTCACATTTTTCCTTTTTTTAAAAAGGGGCTAAAATAGAAAAAGCCTTTTCTGAACTGTTACCCCAATGTTATGTAGCATTAGTATCAATTTCGGCTCCACAGTCGGTGTATAAAAGTGACAGAGCTAAGCTAGTTTGCTAACGTCAACTGTTAGAGGAGAAAAATATAAAGCGTTCCCATTCTTACCGTCATAAACTGCTCCAGGGGCGTCCAGTTTTTAAGGAATTAAAGTGTTGCTGTGGGAGAAAATGGTTCGTGTACGGGGGGCGATGTAGCCCGGACATCCAAGATCAGTTGACCCAGTGCCGATGAAAGCCGAGCAGCAGCATCATTATCACCGCGCCGCCTCACACACATCCATCCAGCAGAGCGGGGCCTCCTCCGGGCTCGACCGTACGACTTGCTCGGCGACGACGACGACGGATAATCCACAAGACAGAAGCCCCTGCAGCAAGCATTGGCTAGACGCGGTACCTATCCAGTCATTTCAGGCCGTCGGATTGAGAAATGCAGTCCCAAAGCGAGCGAAGAAAACATACAATGTGCTGTCAGAAAGAGAAGAAGGTTGAAGTTGAAAACTGTCGGATCACAGAGAGAGAAAATGTTGCGTTTCTGACTTTTCCAGCATGAGCCAGCCCGTTGTTGTCAGCGATCCCTGATCGCTCTCTCTCTCTCTCTCTCTCTCTGCAGCTGCTCTCTTGCCATGCAGCAGCACAGCAGCGAGCTGTGCAGCGACGTAATTGCGCAACCGCACAGGGTTCTGGGGCGTGGCCGTGGAGCGGGAGGCGCGGTGTTTGATTTCAAACGCACCAAGGTAAACATACCTCATCTAAACGTAGTTTTCGAGAAACTATTAGTTTTTAAAAGACGTATTGAAAAGCCTGGAGCCATCCCTTATTTTGTTATATTTTGCCCAACAACCAGGCAACTAGCATCACCAACTTCTCCCTACAATGTTTATATTATAGAGTATTTAAACCTTTAAATATATTACTTTCATAAGTAAAGTTACTACTAAAGTTAAAATTATAGTATTTTCTACCCACCTCTAAAATTTCTGTCTATTATGCCGACTGCAAGTAACTTGACTCAATGAAGATCATTTAATATTTTAACTAAAAATGTGCCAGACACACACACACACACACACACGCACACACACACACACACATAGACACACACACACACACACACTACAGTTTGTTAAAATGAGACTTCTTGTTTGTCTGCAAGCTTCTTTGTTCTAATGCTATTTTCTGTCTGCTGAGCTTGATGTGCCATTTGAAGATCAGTAACAATAGATTTTTTCACTAGAAGTTACACATAAATACTGTATACTGTAAATTTTGGTGTTGAAAGATGTATGTTAAAAAAAATAGCTTAGAAAAGTGTTTCTTCTGGATGAATTTGTTATTTTGTAATCATGTTTTTAATTTGTATTAATCTTTTTTAATTTTAGTCTTTAAATTACCAGAATTTGCACAAAACTTTATGTTTTTGTATGTCAGATTACACAACTTTGTCCAAAACCTTAACATTTAGCAGTTGTTCTTCTTAATTTTTGCTTATTTAAAAATAAAAGGTAAATTATTTCAAGAATGAAGCATTGACAAAGATACAGTGACCAAAAAAGCCCAGATGATGAACGAGCTGTCTTTTTGCCTGCTCACATCTCAGATATTGCACCAGTTTGCATGAATAATTCCTATTGACTGTGACCGCATTTAAATCGGGGGGAGGGTGAGGGAATCATACACCATCTGCTATGAAGCAGAGCAAAAGCAGCAAGACCTGAAGGAGATTTCCCCTGTGAAATATTCAGAGTTTGAAAATAACTACAGGACAGAAGAAAGTGTTGTAGATGACAAAGTGTATGAGGACTGCTAATAAATAAAAATATTCTGATAATTTCTAGATTTGTTGTTCAATTGTTACTCTTTCTATATCTTTGTGTTGAATAATAGAATATAAAGATGTGAGTGAATGTAAGCAACTGACTTTTTTATGTAGTTTTCAACCTTAGTGTTTTGCTTTAAAAAAGTGGTTTAAAGTGGGGGTAAAATAGGCTAAAATAAAACTGTATTTTAGTGTATGATAGCATAAAGTTATAAGTGTATAGTCATTGAAAGTATCAATTAAATGTAAATATTTTTGACTGACTACAGAATTATGACATTTATAGTACAGTAAGCTGATGCAAATAGGCTGGATTTTTATTCATAAAAACCTCTGTTGCTAAATTACAGAATCCATTGTATACTGATTTATTATACTGATATAATAAATCAGTATTTGAGACAATACACATATTTTTTTCTAATCTCTTTAAAAGTTACTTAATTAATTTTATGTATTTTATGCTATTGACCGTGTATTGAAAGACAACCAGCAGCACAGTCATTCATGAACACTGCGAACTGGTGCTGCTGGATGCTGTGAGAACGGTAATGTGGGTTGTACTGACCTCAAGTGGCATGAAAAGACAAGCTACATGTTCCACTACAGCAAACAATGGAGCCATTGTACAGACAGCTCTGTCTGGCATACAATAAAGTGCACTGATGAAGCGGAGTGGCGAGAACAAGACAATGAATCCAGTGTTGTTGATCTGCGCTGCCCAAAGGACACTTTGTAGTCAGAGAAATGATAAAGTGAACAGTTCAGCTACTGCTCTATTTTAATTTTTTTTCCACACTTCATCCCACACCAAAGCAATAAGCTGGAGCAAAAACATCAAACAATAAATGAATAAAACATTTGATTGGTTTAACCTCTTGTAGCTTTTTTTTAATGAACAGCAAAATATTTATACGTCTTGGTCATGTTATGTATTTTGTTGTGATTTCAAATTGTAGAGCATGAAGTGGAATGAAAAATGAATTTCTGTGTTATTGTCTTTGTGTCACCAAGATTGTGCAGTGAAACTGATGTGATGCGTATGTTTATGTAAACAAACAATAATAATTTGTGGTGATGCGTGTTTATACCTCACTCTAGGTCTCTATATAGATGTCTGACACACACTCCACTCTGATGTTCCTGCTCCTCATGTATGGAATGCCTTTAGGGCAAAAAAGGTGGGAAATTTTATGTGTCTTTCACACATTGGCAGATTGTTTTCATCCAGTCACTGCTTGGGTGGTAAAGAACCGCTCATAACCAACAAGTCTAAATACTTATTGGGATTTAAGAAAAACACAAGAGAACACAAAACACTTGAATTTTGTAGCCTAATAATAAGTAGTTGAGCATATAAGTAAGTTTACTCGGTGGATTTCAATAACATTTCTTGATCAAATATCAAGAAATGTTAGATCCCACCACAATATCTTACCAGTCACCACTGCTGAGTCTGATCTTTGAAAAACCAGACCCAGTTTTGAACAAGCAGTATATACAGTATATATAAAAACACACAGTCTGGTTTTGCACTTCATTTGTCTTGACTCCAAAGAGCAGTGGGGTAAAAATACAGTTTCTATCGGCAACCTAATTATGCTTGTCTATATTTAGTTCATTCCGCAGGGAGTTGGATTGAAGATGTAATTAAACAGCATATCTGAACCTTGTTAATGCGCAGACAGATGACCTGGGGGAAATACAAGTGCTGGATGAAGAGGTCTGAGTCACTGAGCTGAAGATTACAGCAGTTTAGTTAGGTTGTACAAAATTAGAGATCCTTTGTGTGTTTTTCCCCTTGACCTGCAGGGAATACAGATATATCAGTTTTCTATGCAATCTGAAAAAGATGAGTAATTATCATGGCATCACAGATATCTGATTCAATACCTTTTTCCTCACTTGAAAAAGGTTTTATTTTTGCCTTTCACTGAGCATACAAGATATTGTAATCACAGATGAGGCTGTTTCACATCCTTTACCAGCACTTAGCAACAACAAGCTGTTGTTTCCCTGTAGGATCCTGTGAAAATTAAGACTGAGTCTAGATGTTGCACACTTCTGCGTCGTTAAAATGACTGTTTTATAAAAAAAGGCTACAAATGGTGGGTATTTCTAGGTGTATTGTAATAATTTTTCATGTGTGGATCAGTGATCAGAACAGCATAAAATTTGATTTGACTTTGCTGAAATGAAGATAATGCCATTTTAACTGGCTGTAAGCATGTTTTATTGTAGTTTAATACGTCTGCAAACTCTAGCAGTAGCAGATGAATAATATTAAAATATACTCTCGCCTACGACATTCAAAATACTCACCTTTCTATAGATAGCTGTTTTGGTTATTTCCCGCCAGCAGAGGGCGCCATTTATCTGAAACCTGCACCATTCCAACATTCCATCAAACATCTTAGTCTAAACTCAACAATTTAACGTTTTTAAACTTACCACATTCCTGACAATTTTTTATTTATTTTTTGGTTAACCGGTCTTTCTATTGTACTGTCAATTTAGAGTGTGCTTGCATTGTTGTTTGCCCGGTCTGCCTCTATGATGGCCCTGTGATGCACTGATTGCTACAAACAACCTGGAATTCAGCAAGCATATAAGAAAGTGCTCTGATTAGATGAGACTAAAATTAAACTTTTTGGCCTACATATAAAATATTATGTGTGGTAGCTAAACAATAACACACATCATTTCTACATTAATACATGGTGGAGTACGCATTGTGGGGAAGTTCAGATATAAAGAATTTGTGGCAAAAATTTGCAACATTTCTGTTCACAGATGCTCTCTGTCCAAACTGACTGAACTTTGCTATTATGGAATGAAGACAGGGGAAAAGAAGATGATTCTACAAAGTTTTAATTGAAGGGGGTATGCAAACTTCTCAGATATTTCATTGGAAAACCAACTAAATTAGAAATGTACAATTTCTCTTCAACTTCACAATTATTTATTTGCTACTTTCTGCTGGACCATCACATTAAATCCCATCTAAATATAGAGAAGTTGGTGGTCAAAATGTGAAAAAGTTCAAGGGTTGTTGATATTTTTTTCACTGTGGTGCCTCAGCATCAAAGCAGTAAATGTCAGCTGAATTCATAATCAACCACATCTTTTTATTGGATAAGAGTCACAAAGTCACATATCTGACACCTTGAATTCTATCTTTTAATGACAAAAAATTTAATTTTCAACAGATGCAGAAAGGCATATTTCTATTAGAAATATCTGCTTGATGGAAAGAGCTTTGTAGCTTTATGGTTTGTTTTATGCTTTCTCTTCTTTCATCAGAGCGAGGATGCCTTCTCTCCTGGAAGTGTAAGGCGTGTGCTTCAGCTGAAGGACATGAGCAGGAAACAGGTTCCCACTGGGCGCATACATCTCCTCGCCTTTCTGTCCCATCAGTGAGCGCAGCATCTTGTTTCTGGACAGGATTTTATCATAAAACTCCACTCCTCCTCTGGCGTACTCCCGAGACATTCCCGCTGCCCGTTTGTCTGAGCTGTAGTCAATCCACTGGCTGAGAGCGTCAGAGGTGAGGAAGTAAGAAACGGCCCCGATTCCCAGCGCCACAATGTTCACTGCCCCACGCATCAGCATGGGGCCGCCATGCAGGCCGAACACCTGCTTCAGCACCACGCTGTACACCCAAACCCCACCCAGGCAGAACGGAGCGACGGCGGCTGTCAGGACCGGACCCCCGGATTGTAATCGGGCCACCTCCCGAGCGATGGCAAACTTCTGCGCCTCCGCGGAGAACACCAGCGCCTCCTTCAGAGCAGAGCCGGCCTCGCTGCTCCAGTCCACCGTTTTCCCGCTGATGAAGATGTTGCGGTTGGTTATTCCACTCAGATCGTCTGTGGTGCTGTTAAAGTTGGCTGGGATGCCGATTTGGGCGCCAGCAGGAAGCCACGGAACACCGGCACCAACCGGGTGGAACCCGAAGGAGGCGAAAGCAGAGAAGTTCTTGGCTGAGCTGATACCGAAGTCCTTCAGGACCTAGAAATTATGAAATTATGAAAAACAACTACAGTCAGTGCTGCAAAAAGTGGATATGCACTATGTAAGGCATTGGGGCGCTGAGCTAGAAGGGGCAATAAATGGTG